ACAAAGCCGGGACGGAGCATGCCGGGTTCTCACCGGACCAGGCTCTCACATCACCAAGCGCGTAGCACCGTGAGGTATTCGGCGAGTCGCATGAGGGGTGAGCTGCATCCTGCTAAGGGTGTTCGGCATCTTGTGCTTACTTCCTTGCGTACGGATGACAGCTGCGTACGTCTTAATTTATTTTCTGGTGCTTTCACTTCCAGAGACAGTTATAAGCACTGTGTAACTGCCTCGAGGGTGCTTGACCATTTTAACACAACATGGTGCGATTATCCCCTTTGCCCGGAGTGAGGGTTCTCGACCCCGCACAACATAATCTACTCGACCACCATTCATGGTTACCGCCCAAAAAGAGGTAAAAAAAAAGCGGTAACCTGGTTGCCGAGTTCACGAAGTGATCGGCTTGTTTTACAACATCGCTGCCAAGCGACGAAAACCCAACCCCGATGGGAAACACCGGGGGGGGCGGCATGTTTTACAACGTCGTTGCCAAGCGACGAAAACCCAACCCCGATGGCAAACATCGGGGGGGGGGGTTACAAGAGGCCCGCCCTTGGGGGGAGAGCACAGCGGGGTACATATGTCTTCATCCCCAGCAGTCTTCGCAGTTTTTTGGTAAGTTGGTAATTAAGCAAACTGCTGGATAAGTATTAGAATCGGCTGAAGTTGGTGTTGGCAGTTCCGCGTTGTTCCTACAGCAGTACCCTCTGCTCCTCTGTAGCGTAGGTTGAACATGTGTTGAGCTCCGCCGAGGGTGTTGGGTGTTGGGACAACAATAAACCTTTCAACAAACCTACCAGCTCTTCCGCTCGGGCACTTTCTAGATGGCGAGACGTCGAACTCGCCCCTCTGTGGGCTGAGCTGGACACGGAAATCGACTCGGGGAAGGGAGGAGCGGGCGTGCACCGGCTATTGCGGTGCAACTCGCTCTTCTTCGTGCGGAGATCTGGCTCACGTTGGCTCATGCCACTGAACAACACCCAACTCCGAGCGCACTCTGTAGTCGCTGACTCGCCTGTAGTTGCTGCCCACGCAGTACACACGCCTGACGGGGAACTTCTGGTCAGAGCCAACCACGGCTAGGCTCGGCGCAGCAACCCTGGGCACGGCGTACTGGAGATGCCCCGCACTACTACTACTCGCATGTCTGCTGCAGTGCAGCTGCACCGCTGTTGGTGGTGGCGGTAGCGTCCCGCAAATGACCGTGGCAGCGCGCTTTGCCGTTGCATAGCGCAGGGACCTATGGCAACCAAGCAAGGAGCTGCGGCGCGCCATTTCACCCCCCTGCTCTGCGCAGCGAGTGAAAGATTGGTACGCCGCCAACACAGCAGGAAGTTGGTTGGGCTGTGTAGGCTGTAGGCGGCACAATAGGGTGGGGGGGGGCACAATGGGTACCGAGGTACCGAGCTGTCGAACCCCCGTGTAATTGCCACTTCTCGTGCGCTCCAGGCTGGCTGGGTGCTCCGTCTGCTTGTGTTGCTGCGTGACACACAACCACGTGTGGGGGGGCAAGCCGGGGTTCGCATCGAGCCAGGCAGGAGTGGATCGCCTTCATGTCGGAGCTTGAGAGCAACATGGCCGAGAATGGCGGGGGCGCAGTGGCCCCGCCAGCGGATGTGTCCACCGCCATGAAGGTGGTGACACCAAACCCGGAGACTGTATCTGCGGCTGAGGCTCTCAAGCTGGAGGGAAATGCTCTGCTGGCGGGTGAGCCCGTTTATTTACAGCAGAACGTAGATGAGGGGGGGAGGTATAGCTTCGGGTGCGTGGTGGATCGTGCTTGGGATCCCTTTGGCGTGGTGTGTCTGCGCAGCTCCGAGCCCTACACGAGGGAGACGAAGAATCGGGACGGTATTTTTCAACAGCGCAACACAACAAAAATGCAATTTGTGTTTGAATGTTCTTGCTTGCTGCTGCTGCTTTTATGTGAACTTTGGAACAACGAGCGTTCGTTGATTTTTGCACACAGAGGGAGAAAGAGATTTGATACCCCGTCTGCCGCGCTATGGGAGCCACGGCGGCAACCATGCCTGTTTTCCTCGTGTCTCTCGTCATCCACATAACCCCGTGCATGTTCCCCCTCGAGGCATGGTTGAGAATTGGTGCGTTCTTGCACGCAGTGTGCCCTATGATGTGCATCCAACCATGCGCCCACCGGTAATTACAAGCACAACGAAAACCTGCTGTCATGTTATCTCGTACATAGAGAAAGTACTTGGAAGCACTCATGTAATCCAGGTCGCGCACCGACTCTTTGCCTTCGGAATCTTTTTCTTTGAGTTGTTGGAGTAATCGCCCGCACTCGGAGCTCGCCGGCATAAGATGATGGGTCAGCGAGCGTGTGTCGGATGCACCATTCATTCCTTGGGATGTGCCATTCCGGTATGCAGGCCACGAACGGCGGTAGTACAGCAGAGATGCATACATACGTGATCGGGTCGCACACCTATAAACGTGTGCCTGTTGAACATCTGCTGCATGGATCGGACATCGACGTTGTTCCATGGACGAAGAGGTATTCCACGTCACAGCAGTACCTCACAGCAGCGAGGTTGTACGTATGGTAAGTATATCACAGCAGTGCTATGCCATATATAATTATTAATAGTGCATTCATTCCGACGACACATGCGTACATGCATACAGCGGTGCTTGTACTGCGAAGCTGCGAAGTACACCACTCCTGTATGCATACCTACAGCAGTACCCCGGTTTGGCTGTCCCCCCATAGGAGCAATACCGGCAGCCTACGCATTTGTATCTCGACCTGCCTCACAAACGTTCTTCCCCAGAAAACATGTGAGAGAGAACGCAGTTTGTCCGCAACACGTCTTTTCCACACTCCGCCATTCAATGTCGACGTGAAATCGATGCTGCTACCTGCCTGGTCCTCTCAGCTTTCTCCGCTTGCTTGTGCTCCGCCATGCCCTGGGGCGCCGTAGAATAGTTGTCGAGGGGACCAGCGCGAGCGCTTTGTAGCAAGCAACGACGCAACAAAAGTTCTATGTACATGTATTTCCAGCGGTTGCATGTGTGTGTATGTTCCCATCTATTCCGGCGCAAGTCTACGCATCAAAATACTTCGAAGTGTATGCCGGGTACATGTATGTTGTACATATAAGATTTGGTCACTTTTCATGCGTCGGCGTTTCTTTCTCTCGCGGCAGCGAATCTTTTCTCGCGGCTCCTTCTCAGGGGCACGCAGGAGGCTCGTCGGTACATTAACACCCGTGCCCGGAGCTCGGTAGGCCTCCGTGGCGCGTGTGGTTGACGGCCAAAGTTGCGAAAACTGGCTCAAAACCCCGGGGACGCGTTCCGCGCTGACAAAGCCTGGCTAACCAATTCTGAAACCTATCAAACCCATCAAATACGACGGTTTGAACTATGTGCCTCTTGCTGCTCCATATTCATTTCGTTCATTCATTAATTTTAATTCGATTATTCATGGCTGTGACTCTTCGTGTCATGGCATTGTCCAACAGCAGTACCTACGTTTACTACACTTCGCAGCGGGCCAAGTGTAGACAAGTCTGAGAACATGCATCCAGCCGCAGTGTTGAACATGTCCCATTTGTGGTGTTGTTTCGGCTTCAGATTCGGTTCTCATCGGAAATCTGCCATCATCAATCAAAGACATTATGGAAGTATGCGCTGCCAAAATATTGTCCGCTCGAGCTGGCTCCAATGTAGAATAACAACGTGCGCGATGTTTTGTGCGGAAATACAAGCGTTGTAAGACACACAGTCCCTCTTTCGGGCAATGCGCATGTGGTCTTGCGTCACCTGAGGGAGGGTAGACACCCACGTCCCGAAGGGAGACCTTGTAGACAACTAAAATACAGCAGTCGGGCGTACGGGCCCGCAGATATCGAACGACAAAATTGGGCCTAGGCTCGGTTTTCTTGTTTCATCGCCGCTGCTGCTGCTGTCGAGAATAGGTTGTCATGACTAGTAGCAGAGATTAGTGCAGGATCCACCGCTGAGCCCCATTGTTTCTTTGTCCTGTTGTCTTAGTCTTCGCGCGAAAAATTGGGCCTCTGTTTCTTGACGAAAAGTGTTGTCTGAGTGCCCGTACTGCCGTACACCCCCTGGTGCCGCAGAAAGAATAGTTCTCGAAGGGACTGGCGAAAGCGCTTGCAGCAGCAAGCACCAACGCAACAAGAGAGATATTCCAGCGGTAGTGTGTGTACCTGTTTGCATATGTTCGTCCCATCTATTTCAGGGCCAGTCTGCGCACCAGTCGGTGTCTGTGTACCTGTTACATAGAATATGACGGATCATTTGGGGTCACATAGGGGGCAGGAGGTCGCCATACAACAGAGCTCTTTTTTACAGCGGGTGTCCACGGAGTAGAACCGTTTACAATCCTTTTTACCACTTTTTTTGTTCGCTATACTTTATCACGGGGCGGCTTATCCGGGGGCAAAATTCTCACTTACAAATAGCTGAGCGTTTTTTGTTGCGCATGTCCTGGAGCGGAGCGGCTTTTCTGGCGGCACGTCGTGCTTCTTACGTAGCGGTGTTTACTCTGTACAAGCAGTAGCATAAACCGCTCGTAACCATGCCCTTGACGATGGTGCACCGTCAGAAAGAATGAATTGCCGAAATCATACGGATATGTATCCGTACAGTATGACGAGTACCGACGATTGTTTGTGCAATGCGTTGGGTTCGGTACACACGTTACATCGAAAAACAGAGTTTTTCTGCACGATGTGACGATGTGCGTGGTGTGCGTGGAGCTTGCAGGTGACACCGTACAAATACGCATTCTCGCGGCGAGAATGTACATTATGGTCCAAACAAACGAAAAACCTCTCGACTAATTGTTGGGTTGACGTACATAGGCACCATGTATTGGCTGGCATCAATGGATACTCGTTGTCATGGTCTACCCGCTCAAGGCAGTGAAACATGAGTACCCCCCCCCCCCCCCCAACTTGTGTTATCCAATCCGGTCTGTCCAGAAAGCAAGCTGGGGCATGCGGTGGGGAAATACACTGCGGCGATCGACCTACACCCGACGGCCATCTACCTGAGCAACCGCGCCTTCTGCTACGTGAAGCTGGAGCAGTTCGGCCTCGCTATCCTCGACGCCGACATGGCCCTCGAGTGAGAACACGCTACCGTGCTGCTGTGCAAACCCCCATGTGTGGTGGCGAGTCTGCCGTTACATGTTGACGTCGTCATTGGCCCGTGTGGTGTTGACTATCCGTATCACTTCTCTCGTCTGTAACAGGAGGGGATACGAGAGACGGCCTTCGCGATTATTTTGTTGTTTGTCTACGAAGTAGATAAGAGGAGGATTCCCTATCTCTTTTTTGTTGTTTGTCTATGTAGAGAAGAGGAGGATAGGTTTCCTATCTCTATCCCAAGCCCTAACCCCCAAACCCTTATAAAACCGAGCTAATAGTATCCTCCCGAAGGCTACTGGATAAGAGAGTCCGGACGAGCTCTCTTGGCATCCGTTTCAGGCCTTTTGTTTTATTTGGGAACCACAGCAGTTCTGAACCCCTGCGCCTTCTTTGCTCCCTCCTGAAGACGTGAGACCGACTCGCGGACTGTTAAGTATTGTCGGGTGTTTTGGTGGATGCTGACAGGTTGGATAGCACGTACGTGAAGGCCTACTACCGAAGGGGGTCGGCGAACATGGCGCTGGCAAAGTTTAAGCTCGCGGTGAAGGACTTCAGAAAGGCAAGAAAGCAGCAGCAGCAGCCTCGCGTCGTTTGTTTGGTTTCTGCGTTTGTCGCTGCTGGCTCTTTCGGCGTTGCTGATGTTGCTGTTGTTGCTGATGTTGCTGATGTTGCTGATGTTGCTGATGTTGCTGTTGTAGCTGATGTTGCTGTTGTTGCTGATGTTGCTGTTGTAGCTGGGTAGTGGAGGAGTTGGTGGTTGCCGGTGACGGTGGTCTTTGTCCGTGCCGATGGTGTCGTTGTCGTCGGCATCGGTGTTGTTGTTGGATGGCGGTCGGTGGATGTTGTCGGTCTTGGATTGTCGCCGTCGTACTCGATGTTGTTAGCCCCATCAACCTAGAAGGGAAGAAACGTTTTCGACAGGCCAGATTTGGATTGTGTACGCGAAGAGACATTGCCGCAGGGTGATGGTAGGGGGGGCGCCTGTGCGGGCGGTTCATGACTGCTGTGCCAAGCACTCCTTGAGCCGACCAACAACCTACATATGAGGAGAGAACGAGAAAAAGAAAATAACATGATGATAATCTGCTGGTGATGCTTAGTGAGCGTGGTACATGATAATTTATCCATCCACCCTTGTTTCGTTACGGTCCCCAGATTTTGGTTTCTTCATATTATTGTGGATGTGCTGCTGTAGTTTCATACTCCAGACGCCTTTCGTGTTGTTGCTGTCCCTCTCTCTGCGTGTGGGGGGGAATCTGCATGCACTCGCTGTTGTCGGTTCGGGTGGGACACAAAACAACAGGTAACTAAGATGCAGCCAAAGAGCAAGGAAGCGGCTGCCAAGCTCAAGGCGAGCGAGAAGATGCAGAAGGAGGCCGCCTTCGCCGCGGCCATCATGACGGACGCGGACGTGCCCCTCGCGGAGGAGATCAACCCCGACGAGATCGGTACGTCTTTCGTCGCTAGTGCTGCTGCTGCTGCTGCTGCTGCTGCTGCTGCTGCTGCTGCTGCTGTTGTTGGGCTGTTTTTGCCGTAATAGGTAGATGTTGTTGTCGTCGTTGGTGCGTGTGTTGCTGTTGCCGTACTGCAGCAGGTGGTACTATTACGGGTGGGTGTTGTAAGTCATTTGGTTACTGTTTGGTGAATGTGTTGCTGTGGCTGTGCTGTACAGTAGCAGGTGGGTGTTGCTTTTTGGTGGTCGGGTTGCTGCTGCTGCTACTGCTGCTGCTGTGGCCGCTGTTGTCACGGCAGTGGGTAGATGTTGCTGTCGCTAATGGTGGGTGGCGAAAACCTCGGCACTAATGCATTTTTTTCATTTTGTTGGACGAAACACAGTGGTGGATAGTGGGTACGACGGGCCACGTCTGGGGGACGATGGAGAGGTGACAGTGGACTTCTGCAAGGCCATGATGGCAAGATTCGAGGAGCAAAAACTCATCCACAAGAAGTGAGTCGAGTGAGAGGGTATCTCGCTGCGTGGCCGCTAGACTAGCAGCAGCAATGGAAGGAAAGGGGCAAACGTGGAGCTTTTTTTATGTGTGTTTTTATTGTTGTAGCACCGACCGTGCGACATCCGGCTGACCAATGAAAAGACGCCGGTCTCACTCAATGTGGTTGAAAACAGAACATGCTTGTAAAGGCGATGCTCGTGTGTGCGTTCATCTTTAGTATTTAATGTCGATCGCGCCAACCGACTGACCAGCCGGCGCCAGCGGCTGACCATTGAAAACCTTTTGTAATTCATCTCACGTCGTGCAATAAAACTGATGTCTGCTCCCTCGTTTTTGTTCGTGACATGACTTTTCTCCTTGTGGGACACGGTGGGATTCGGCTGGCCAGGTACATTGTGCAAATCCTGTGTCAGGTGTACAAGGCACTGAAGGACTCGCCAAGCCTCATGCGACTACACGTGAGAGACAACACTTGCCTTGTTACATCTTTGTTCATTTATTTCTTTATTTTCTTTCATACCACAAGAGTCCATCTCTTCCACAGACAAGAGTATATGGTAGATTGGCAATGAATTAATATTTTTTTGTACGGTGACCAAATTGTATTTGGACGGTTCCCGAGCAGCATACAGCGATGTCTCCCCTCGTGGGTAACAGGCTCGACAAGACAGTTTGGTGGCTATCTTGTTTGCTTACGGTTGGATTGTTGAGTGCGTCCCGCTTGGTTGTTGACTTGAAAAGTGGAGATCAAGTCACCTCCACTTGTTAATCACCCCGCTGTTTGACTTTGACGTGTGGGGGTGTTTCCTCGAAAGCAACAGCAGCGGAAAGGGAGCTCTTATCGCTGCCTCTAGGCCTTTCTTCCAACACCAGATACTTGTAGCGTCTGGTTTAGGGGCCTTGGGCAGTGAGTGACGCTTGCGGCCCTCTGCCGTATCGCCCCCCCCCCCCCCTAAATACCTGTGACCCACAATCACTTCACATAATAAATAAATCCTGGTGTACCCTGTTGATACCCGGGA